TTGGAATTGGGTAAGTATGACTTGCTTTCATTTTGTAGCTGTAGTGGCCTAGGTGATGGCGTCGCAGGAATCTCATCTTCGGAATGTGAATCTAAGCTTAAGTCATCAATTTCAGAGGGATAAGAACGTGGTTCAGATGATTCGTAGTTGTGTTCTGAGTCAGATGATTGTTGTTTTTTCGGTTTTGTGTAATTATTGATTATAACTTCATCTTCAGATGTGCTGCTGTCATCGGAGGGTGCTTTTGCGGGAGGTACAAGCGCCATAATTTTTTGCGTGCGTTGCCATTTAAGCATTTTCTGAAGCAAAATAACACAAAAAACGTAGGGCATCCAAAACCAAAGCGAAAAATGAACAATAATAGGGTCTCAGATAAGAGGGGAATAAATGTTAGTACACGCGCAATGTTGAATATACTCATCATGTTAAGTTATAGGACAAAACCTAAAGCATTTCGCAATGTTGAAAATACTCAACATAGAAAAAATCAGGTGAATAATAGTAACATTCGCATTGTTGAGTATATTCAACATTCAACTTGAAAACCATCAAACACATACTAAACCACAATATTTTCAGGCTTTTTTTCATTACGTGCATAAAATAATAATTTAAAATTGAAATGCAAGGCAATAATAGGTATCAATATGATTTAAATTGCTAATAATAAATTTTATTTACCTTAGGTCCAAACGGTGCAGATGAACGTGATGCCATTTTGCCGCCACTGTCAAAATCTGACGTTTGTGACACACAACTTTCTTTTTACGAGTTGCGTTTCGTTTCACCTTTTTTTCAAAGTAAAAATATTTTTTCTACGCGTTCAAGTTTTCATACAGGATTTATTTATTTCGAATGTTGAGTATTCTAACTTTACGAATTAAAGGGTTAATAAATTTATAAAATCACAACTAATTATCGCATACGTTTCGAACTTCACACAATGAACTAGTCTGAACTGAACTAAATAATGTGGGTAGATTTGATTTTTAGAATTGAATGGATCTGTGTTAGGCCGAATACTTTTCAATCCACCCTCGTAATTTTAATGTGAATATTCATTCGTATAGTAGGAAGAAGGATGAAATAATAGTAACAATTTAAAACATTTATTTATACAAAGAATTATATTTAAAACATTAATTTATACAAAGAATCTCGCACTGAATTTCATATTAACAAAAATTTATTTTTACCTTTACACATACATACGTATTTATATACAAATATACATACAATAACTTGCAATACATTTGCGTACAATGAAACAGCGTTTACTACAACTTAACTTGTTCCTATCTGAGTGATTTTGTTGAGGACAGGGCGATGATAGGAGAAATATGAAATGAAAGGAAGTGTTTCTGCTGTAATGTGCCTAGAAAATGTCAAGTCAATGGTTGTTCCTTTTAACGTAGTAGACTTAGACATATCTGATACGCAATCAAGATTAAACGTATCTTTAATGAATTTGAGAAACTTGTCATCAGACTTCACGTTTTGGTTGAAGTCACCGCATAGAAGAATCGGCATATTAGGATCAACTTGCAGGAACGGTGGCACGTACTGGCTGTTATGCACGTATGGAAGAAGTGCCTGGTGTAGCAACATTCCGATGTCTTGTACACTTAATCCTGGATGAATATAAACAGCACCGAGCACAAATTTGAAGGTAGTATCAGCGGTAAAGCAAGTAACTTCAGCCAAGCACAAGTCACCGCAGGTTTTGATAACTCGAGCAGTGTCTGTGACCGCAACATCGATCACTTTTCCTGTTGATATTGATGATAACCTACGATAGATCGCTACTCCACCTGCTGCGTTGGTGTCTGAGTCTGTTCGATTATTCTTCCTTGATATGCACTCATAATTCTTGATTGGATGTGGTTCACAAGTGTCGCGCATCCACGTTTCGGTCAGTACTAAATAGTCAGATCTTGGAATCACTGTATCTGTTTCAATGTCTGTGGCATGAGCACTCAAACTTTGACAATTGATGTTCGTCACGATAGTTTGTCCAGCACTGGTAGCATCGTCACAGAATTTGACTGCCTTTTTAGTGGTGGTTTGCAAAGTGTGTCCTTGGAGTCGAATATATTCAGTGCGAATATCTCGTGTAGTTTGTGAGTCGTTTCCTTCGCGCCCATGTTTGAAAATCAAAGGAGAGTCCTTCTCCGTGATGATATACAATCCGTTGATACTCGTTACGCGGCTCATGGCTACATATACTAATTGTTGTTGCTTGGAGGAGTACTTATACACGATTACATCAAACGTCCCACCTTGTGATTTGTGAATCGTAATGGCACAAGCAGGTACGCAAGGAAATTGTTTGCGTTTGCATTTCACTGTTTTTGTCAATGTGATGTTGACCACTTTTTTGTACACCGGCACCCAATCAACGGACAAAGTGTTTGGTTTGCTGAGTACATGTGGTCGACTTTTGAGTTTTGCACTGGCACCCGTACTTTTGTCTGGAAACTCGAACCAAAGAGTGATAATTTCATCTTTTGTGGGCGGTGACGTCGTGCTGGTCGATGGTCCTGCTTCGACTGGATCGGCTGGCTGACGTTCGATGTGTCGCAAGACTCCAATAGCGCCGTTTACCAATCCATCTCCTACGTTGATGTTAGACGTTATCATGTAAGGGTATCCCACTGCTAAGGGCAGCATGTAAGGCAATCCGTCTGTCTCTGCAACCGACATCTTGTGAAGTTTTCCTTGCTGTTGGCCCCTCTCAGAATTACTGGAATATCCGAGCATGATATCAGTGGCAATACAGTTGTGTGCGTTGTTAATTGCTTTTCGATTGTATGAATCAACCTCAAAGTTACTGTAAAACAACCGAACAGCGTCAGGTACGTTCTCTTTGCACCAGGACTCTGACTTATGTCTGGATTCTATAAGTTTGATGTTATTGACACTTAGTTTAAGTCCATCTCCAATTTTAGTCAGAATTCTCGAAAACAGCTCGTCAGTTTGTCGTACAACACGGACCAATGGGAAGTAGTCGATGCTTTGCCACAGTATAGGTCCTCCGAGTTGGTTGATTGGCACTGTGTAACACGGAGTAGCGCGTACAGGCGGCAGCTGTCTGAAATCGCCGCATAAGATGATGTGAAGGCCTCCGAAAACTTGGTCGTATATGCCGGTTATCTGTTGCAATCGATAATTGATTTTACCGAGGATAGCTGCACTCAACATGCTGATCTCGTCAATGAAAACTGCTCTCACGCCAACGAACATATTTCTATAGGCTTGCAAGTTTTCAGCTGATAGAAGTCTTGTAACTCGAGAAGTTGTTAGGCGAAATGCTGAGTGAACTGTTGTTCCACCAAGAGGTACAGCTGCTTTACCTGTGCTTGCACAAGCAACGTAGGCGTTGTTGAGTGAGTTGTGGTTCTGAGTGTAACGATTGTACGTTTCCATGAGGGCCTTCAATGTATACGTTTTGCCACATCCTGCTGGTCCGGTGAAGAAGATTTGTAGAGCCTGTAGGAGCTCATCTCCGCAGCCATGTAAACGATGTATAGCCTCAAGAACCACCTCACGTTGTTCAGCATTTGTAGTTCGTAGCAGCTCACAATATTGTTGTTTTGGCATCACGTTGCTCCGTTTTTTTACAACTGACAATCCGTTTTGCGGCACGATTTCATTAACATCATCGTTATTTTCAGCTCCCTCTCCTCCTAACAACTGTTCTACAAACACTCTTCTTGACTCTGTTTCCGTTGGTTCTGTGGTGTCTGAATTTTGCAAAATCATCATTGCTTCTAGCTCTTGCATCACTTTGTCGATGTCAATATTGTTCTCATAAAGTTTTCTGCGTTCCATGATAGTTTCCTTGTTGTCATTGAATAATTGTATAAATTTATTACAATCAACAATGTCAGCGACTTCGTTGCGAAAGGGCAAGTACAGCAGTACCATCTCACGTTGATAATTGACAGTTTCATCTATGTCGTAGCATCTGTATCGTATGATTCGACCGATCAGACGTTTGCGATATCCTCTCGATGTCGTTCTTTCTCCAGTCGGCGGTTCAGGATCGTCATCTTCATGCACGTTCAAGTCGTCTTCATTGTCAATGAAATCACGAGAGTTAGCATACCACGACGCAAACTCGGCCAAATATACATCTTGCAAAGATGGAGGTCTTTCTTCATACCGCTGAATGATGTTTTTGGTCCACACGTCTGTGCTGTCCTCTGCGATTCCTTCGCGATCCAATTGTTTCCGACGTTTGTGGCAACGTTGTCTCTCTGAGGGCCACACTGTTGGTATGTACACAATTTGACGGCTTGCTTCGCTCATCGGCTGTCGTAACAAATACCATGCTGCTTCTTGCGCCGACATTTCAACTGCATTGAGAAGTTTGACACTCAATGCTTTTAATTGACCAGTGTAATCGCGGTCAGGATGTTCTTCCATCATTTTAGTCAACTCTCGATTCAAGTTACCCATTCCACGAGCTGATTTGTTCACGTATTCCACGACGTACTGTGCGCAGCTGTATTCATCTAAGATAAACTGAATATCGATGTTGGAATTAATTTGACCAGCAAGGTAAGGGTTGAACGTGTTTGTCATAAGTTGATCGAAGTTACGTTTAAACAACAAAGTTGGCCTGCGAAGGGTTGAACGTACTATATCAAGATATGCATCAAATGTCAGACCATGTTCCCTCAAAAAGTCATTCATGCTAGGGTATGTACGTTCGCTGAGACACGTTCGTAGCTCCTTGGATTTTTTTTGGAATGTTGACCGGCGTCCATCAGTCTGAGGCATTGGAACCAAGACTCGAGTAGCAGGCATTGGCCAGTACGGGATCCCAAATCTGCAAGTCGTCTCACCTCGCTTCGTGCAGGTGAAAGTGTGCTTGTGAATTTGATTGGCGTAGATGGTCTCGTTGGGCATATCTTCTTTGGCGACAGAACTCAGCTTTTCCACGAGCTCGATGGTCATTGGCATATTTTCTGACACGGCCTCGTGTGGATCATTATTCAACCACACCAAAATGTGTGCGTGCTTCCTCGATGCTGGAACTCAATGCGAAAGAAATAATCTTTAACAAAGTACTGGCCAAATGGATTATATGATTGTTTTGCCTTCATCATATTCATCAATGTACCGACGAGTTTGTGGAAATATATGCAGCACGTAACTGGATCGTCGCTCACTAAGTTGCACCGCTCTGACGTGTTTAGATCTTCAGCAACTTTTCCAGGATACTTGTTACTCAATTTGAGGAGTAAGTTCAGTAATATCAACCAGCGTACTTCGTTTGCACTTAAAGTGAGAAATATGGTCGGTTTACCTAGTTGACGGAGCATCGCAAACAGATCTCGTTTGCGAGAGGCCCAATACTGGACGGAATTGGGTACTGACTTCATGAAGGCAAGATTTTGAACGACAAATTCTTTAAGAAATTCCGGGTCCTCCAACATGCGTCGAGTTACGTTTTCCGTGGTTGACACATTCCGAAATGTGCTGTAAATGCCATCCACCATGCGGAGACGTAGAATCTTCATAGCAACGTACAAGACTTTTTGAGGCGTGGCTCCGCGTCTGTCACTTCGTCGTAATTCACTGGTTGCCATCATGTAAGGTGTCACTGAAACTCCCATGTGGAAGCGACGAGGCTGGCCGTAGTATATTGCAGGAAATGATAGTTCTTCAGCATGACGGTCGTAAATGATGTTCAGAGGCATGGCCCGATGTCCTGGTGCGATGTCGAGGCAATCCTCTTCGTTCCACAGTAGTGTATGCTGCCTGGAAGCAAGAATTTCTGACTCCGGAGTACACTCGGCGGCGATTGTTTCGATTCGATGAGCCGAGTCATCCTGCAAATCTTCCTCTGGTGGCACGACAGTTTGCAGCCTTGACAAATCTACTTTGATATCGTACAAGCGATATAGACTTGAATTTTGAAGTACATCCAACCATTCTTTGATTGTCCTTTTGGACATGTAGCCACTGATGTAATTTGTTTTGTGTGCGAGATTCCGTTTGATGTTGACATTAATGACGTCGTCCTCATCTAAATGCCGGGGCAAGCATTTTACCATGTCTTCTACGTTGACTGGAACGTTGATCACTTGACCAATAATTCCATAAGAGAAGTCATGCCGCAGACGACGCACTTGCATGAATGGCAGACGTGGTGAGATTAATCGTTCACTAATTGGATCCAGTGGCGGTAAGCCAGGAGGTATTTCTGGATATGAGAAGCCATTCACTTTTGCAAGGGTAGGAAGCTTATGTTTGTTCAGCGAAAATCTACAGGTGTTGCAAATATGCGTATAATCCTCCTCGCGTAGTTGCCTATTTTCCTTAACGAACCAATCCGATATGACCTGTAGTTGTGCAGCAGTGATGATTTTAAGGTCATTCTTGAACCACAATCGGTCGCAAACAGAGCAAGCGTGGCCAAATTCGTTGTCCAGAAATGTAGTTTTAAACCTCTTTATTGACGACGACCATTTGATATTCCAGGTTGATTGTTCCGGTTGCACTGCTGTGTGAGTCGGTGGAGTACTTATTTGTGAAACAATTTGAGCAGCTCTACGCTGTCTGTAAGCACGTTGTCGCTGAGCGCTGGTCTGGGCAGTAACTGTTCTTTCCACTACCACAGGAGCAGACACTGTGGCTGACTCTAGTGTGCCGGTGTCAAGAGCTGAGTTGGCGAGTCTACGTTGCTTGCATCTACGTTGTCTTTCGGCGGCTGCTTTTGCAAAATCTGCTGCCTCTGCAGGAGTTCTTTCCGCGGCCTTACGTTTTCTATACATACTTTGTCGTTGCGCTTTGGCGTTATGGGGTGTGTGTGGCACAGCGAAAGGTATGGCAGACGTTGGTGGCACGATATCATCAGTCTCCATCGGTGTACTGGACGTTGAAGGAATTTGTACATCTGGCTCCATTGTACTAAAATTGAACAAATTAGAAATTATTGTTTCTCATATTTTTAAATGTTTTCAAATTCAGTGTAAACTCTTTATAACATCATTCTTTATAACGATAAACTCTCTATAACATAGAAAAGATCACAATTTGGTTGGTTTAGTTTTAAAAAGTTACTAATATAAATAATTAATTTGAAATTTCACAAAATTTGTGTATGTTAAATTCATTTTTTATTTCAAATTTTTGCATAAATTGAACTTTGTTGAAACAGTTATTAATATAAATAACAAATTCGAGAATTCATTAATATAAATAACAAATTCGAGAATTCACAAAATTGGTTTATGTTAAATCAATCAGTTGTTATAAGTTATTAATAAATTTAACTTGTTTTACATTGTTATAAATATAAAAACTAAATTTAAAAGTTAGAACATTTATTTAAATCACATTAATTGTTAATATCAATCGATTTTAATTCAAAGTGTATTTTCTAAAAGGAGAAAACTAATTCACATTTGATCTTTGAATTTGTAAATCGCGCGCTTACGACCTTGCGCAGTGATTAGTCGTCTCGGTTTGAATGTTTGAAAGTTTCGATTTGACAGGTTGGAGGTTAAACATTGTTATTTCAATTTTTTACATAGCAAGTCGCGCTCATTTTTTCAAGTTAAACAAATTATTATTGGTTGAGAAACGATTTATACTACTTTTTTGATTGAAAACTACCACAACAATGTGATTACTACAACATAACCTATTCACTTATGTCTTAGTCATTTATTTCATCATGTTATATTATCAGTCTGAAATTATTTACCTTTGCTGTTTGAATTGTTGCGATGGACGAAACTACCTTCACATTATCACTACACAATCGTTTTACAATTAACTGGCAACGTGTAAACTTGTATGCAGGCGCCTAAGCGAAATAGAAGCGCAAGACATGAACCGGTGTGTATGCCTATCTCTCTCACTCTCTCTCTCTCGCTCTGTCTCTCTCGCTCTTAGGCGGGCTAACTGTGCTCGAGTGGAAGGGACGCGTGCCTTTCACTTTTTATGTCTGTCTCTCTCGCTCTTAGGCGGGCTAACCATGCCCGAGTGGAAGGGACGCGTGCCTTCACTCGCTCTCATTGTGAGCGCATAACGTGAGCGGAGCGTAACGCAGTTTCTTGAAGTGTCACCCGGCAAACCAATTTATAAGACGTTGTCACGTCAATAATAATAGTTTGACCTTTAATTGTCGAACTCCCGAATGTAACTGGCAAGAAGGTGCTCATTGTCACAGTGATCTACTTTTTACACTTTACAAATAAAATGGTGATCATAAACAATGTCTAATATTACCTATCTATAATCTGTTTTTTCTGTTTAACACACTAATGAAATAAAACACATTAATTGGCATGAAATTTTATTTCTGGGATAAATTCGTGTAATATATAATACTTTCAGGGGAACAAAACTTTTTATGTCCTAAAGGTCACTATATTTGTCAGCAGAAATTGGCAATTTATCTGTACAACCTTCCAGGCAAAATGAATTCATTGTGTTGTACAGTGTTCATCTTACTGGTTTTCTTTTTTCTTCCACTGATGCAAGCAGACTCCCAGGGCCCATTATAAGTAGAGCGGAAGCCTATTTTGGTACTCAACTTGTCAATTTTGAGAACTTTTATAGGGCGCGAAGGGAAACACGACTTTTTAGCATAAATTGTGTCCAAATGGCTAGTCCATGATCTGAAATAAGATGTGTCCACCTCTATGACTTCAAATGGACTCGGCTTACAGCGGACATTTTGGAAAATTTCAGTCCAATTCGATGGAAGTTCTGCTCTGGTCTTAGATCTCACCAAACCCATATTTTTATCACACTCCATATATGAGTGGCCGCTCACTGGAAACTTTATAGTAATTCTTTCCAACTTTATGTACTAAGTGATGCAAGAAACGGAACATAGTAAAATTTTTATTTTGCCCTCCGCAGTCACAAAATATTTGAAGGTGAGTTGTAGTAGGCTTCACGGAGTTATAGACGAAGTGATTGACAAGTGAGCATACATCATCGCTTCCTTTTTTACCTTCCGTTTCTGGATACAGGTAAAACATGCTTTGTGATGAAGATAATACATGCACATTGAAAGCGTACACTGATAGCTGTCGTTTGTAATAAGTATCGTTTGTTTGTATGTTAGGAGCACACAGATTTTTACCATAGTCAAAACATATTGCCTCCATTGAACTGCCTGCTTCTCTACTTTGCAACCTTGCCATCCGTTTTCTGTAGTAAAAATTGCTTGCTTGTAGCTTATGTAATTTGTTTTGATTAAAAAGATTCAAATTTCCCGATCCAATGTGGACTTGGCAATTGTACAAATGTCTTCTTCTTAGCCTCCCAATGCTTTTGTTTTTGCAATGAATTCATACCGTATGCTGCATGTATCTGTACGAGGATAGCCAAAAACAATGTTAAAATCAGTGCAAAAAATATTTCTGTAACTTACATAATATACAGATACACCTTGATTATCTTGAAGGAACATTGCATGCATTTTTTTACATTCAAATCTTCAGGCAAATATGTTTTGTTTGAATCATGTAAACTGTAATGACTGGAACGACCTAGAACAAAATATTTAAAAAAACGTGTTATCATGATTTATAAAAGAAACAGAAAACATAACAGCATAGTTCTATAAAATGATACGAGGGTGGATTGAAAAGTACTCGGCCTAACCAAGAAAATAAACACATACTAAATCAGTTATATTTTTATTTTTCTACATAATCACCATCAAGTTCAATACACTTTTGCCACCTCCCCTTCCAAGCATTTAGACCGTTGAAAAAAAAATTATTCTTCCTTAGAGTCAAAATATGCGTCTACAGCTGCTTTGACCTCGTCGTTTGTCGAAAATCTTTGACCTCCCAAGTGCTTTTTTAGGTTAGGGAACAGAAAGAAGTCTGATGGTGCCAGATCAGGTGAATACGGCGGATGCGGTAACAGTTTAAAGCCACAGTTGTGAATTTCAGCCATTGACTGTACTGACGTGTGAACACGGGCGTTATCTTGATGAAACAGGACTTTTCTTCTGAGCATTCCTCGACGTTTTTCTTTTATTTCCTCTCGTAAACGACGTAGTAAGGTGCAGTAGTAATCAGAGTTTATAGTCTGACCCCTTTCAAGATAATCAATCATAATCACACCTTTCGAGTCCCAGAATACTGAAGCCATCACCTTATTTGCCGACAAAATCGACTTAGCCTTTTTAGGTGGTGGTGAATCAGGTCTTCTCCACTGTTTTGATTGTTGTTTTGTTTCCGGTGTACAGTAATGAACCCATGTTTCGTCCATAGTAACAAAACGATTCAAAAAATCATCTGCATCGGTTTCAAATAACTCCAAACAGTCGCGTGAAATAGTCAATCGCGTCCTTTTTTGTTCAACTGAAAGCAGTCGCGGAACCCACCTCGCAGACACCTTGTGGAAACCCAACTCGTTGACAATGATGTTTTGAGTTCGTTCATAAGAGATGCCTATAATCTCGGCTATCTCTCTAATTTTTAATCTGCGGTCTCCCATTATTAAATCAAGTACTTTTTTAATATTTTCGTCAGTAGTTGACGTCGAAGGCCTTCCAGAGCGGGGTTCATCTTTCACACTCTCTCTACCACGCTTAAATTCTGCTATCCATTTTTTGACGGATGAATATGACAGAGCACAATCGCCTAATGTACTGACCATGTCATCATGGATGGCTTTTGATGATAGCCCCTTCTTATGGAGGTACTTAATGACGGCACGCTGCTCGATTTGCTCCATTCGCGGAAATTATGTCCGATTACTTTGTTAATAAATTTATAAAATCACAACTAATTATCGCACACGTTTCGAACTTCACACAATGAACTAGTCTGAACTGAACTAAATAATGTGGGTAGATTTGATTTTTAGAATTGAATAGATCTGTGTTAGGCCGAGTACTTTTCAATCCACCTAGGTACACTACCTTTAAATGAATTAATATGCCCTTTAATTAAACTCTTGACATCATCATCGAGTTTTACATGACTATTATTTTTTCCTCTCTTATCAACCGGAGCACATCCAGTTTTCTTCAAACTTGCTACTAAATATTCAACTTTTTTCTCAATGTTCCATGTATCGACATAAAAGCCTTCTTGCAGATAATTATTTCTTTTATTTCCGAATCAATCATAGCAAGTACTCTGTACTTGTATACAGCATCGTAATGTAATACTCCTTCTTTCTTGGAACGTCTAACGTCGTTAACTGGGAGAACGGAGATCAATCCACTTAAATAGCTATTTTGAGCATCATGTGATGCTAGTAAATTAAAATTCTGGAGAATCTGGGTTCTTGCTTCCGCTGGAATCCTAATGAAACATCCCAATTTGCAACCACAGGCTGGACCGGGTTCATGACTCGATAATTTTAACTTTTTCAACACTTGAGACATTCGACCGTGTGACTTCCTCTTTTTTGTAGTCTTATAAACATAATTTTCATCACAATCATTACTATTATTGTAGGATATCTTGTGCATTATATACGTATGTACCTGATTGTAAATCGTATTCATCGTGTGAGTCCAAATCTTCTAGTTGGCGCGAGAATTCGTCTTCGCCATCACTATCTTCCAAAATACGTCGCATTTGTTCATCAGATAGATGTTTTAGAGGCATTTTCACTTCAAAACAATAACAAGAACCAATGAACAATTCGAATGATGTTTATTAACGAAAATAATCGCTTTCGCGGTAAAAATGATATTTATGACATATGACAATGAAAAATTTGATAGACATTGACAATGATATGAACGAAAAGCAATAATAAGTTCATAAAAATGTATTTATTGTCTAGGGATTTAAAATAAAAATTTACATTAAACGTCCGTGCATTTTATTTAATCCACAATGTTCTTGCTACTACGTCTGTGCATTATTTGTAATGCACGGTATTCTAGCTGTCACGTCCGTGCATTAAAAATAATGCGATGCTGAAATTCAGTAAATTCAAAAGTTTTATTGAAAATAATTTGTAAATTCTTTGTAAGTACATAAAATGAAACAGTTCGGCCGAAAAAAAATTGGACGTCACGTCAACCTTACCCAAAGTACTCTGGACAGGCAACGTGTTAAAAATAGGATGCAGTAAAGGTCTTGTTAACTGCGAACAAAACCGAAAACGTGGCGAATGTATGTACTATGTATGCAAGTATACATTTGTATTTTGCGTTTTATATGTGACTACGCTAATTACGTTAACTGCAGCCGAAGGACCCAAAGAAAAAACCGAAACTAATATAAAATACTTTATTATAATATAAAAATTACAATATAATTATTACAACTAAAAAAGAAGTGAATCAGGTCGATGCTAGATCTAGAATGATTTTTAATTATTACATTAAAATAAGGTAAAGTAATATTGCAGAGCTCCGATTGCATCCGTTGACGTCAATGCTCACGTTCTGCTGAGTTGCGCCTCGTGCCGCTGCAATGTATCGGGGTCGCTGCTGTGTAGGCTCTTTACCTATGAGGCTATGCTATAACTCCTCCACCCTCAGATCAGCAACTATTTTAGAACTTTGAGAGAAAAAATTTCTACTTTTGTTCCTTCGGGGTTTTCATAGCTATGTTGGGTGTTATCCTGGGTCTGTTCTTGCTTCCTAGTCTTGTAGTAGTAACGAACTGAGATTATGATAGCGAATACTACTAGGCTTTATAACACGGCGTAAAAGGGAATAGTAGTATGATATAAGGTTAGGGGGTGCATCTCTCGCAGATGAAGTGGTGGTTGCATCATGAGTTGGTCCTGGGCTGCGTGGAGTCCTTTCAGGTTGATTGTGTTAAGGCTGATTCGTGGTACTGCTGGGGTATCTTTTGCGCTTATATCCATTGGTATTTTCATTAGTTTCAGGGAATGGCCATCTACTTGATCATTGATATTAGTGATGGTGAATTCTTGTGTTCGCAGGAAGCAATTGATTGGTATTGAGGCTAAGTAGCTGCCCTGTAATGTAGTAATGTCTTCACGCCCGCATACTGTGTGGACCTTAGTTGCTTGAGAGAAGGAGATGGTATAGTGCTTGTCGTCAAGACTTCTTTTGATAGTGCGATGTCGGTTATCTTACAGGATTTTGCTATAGACTGATTGATGATGAGGTTCTGGATACAGTCGGATTGTGTTCGAATTTGGGTGTTCGTTTCCTTTTCGCATAGGTACCGATTACTCAACTTCGGACATTCTGTCTCCATGTACACGAATTTTTCTCTATTGGTTGCTATTAGAGGACAGGGTGGAATAATAGATTGGTAGTTTTTGTTAGGTACAATGGATAAGCGGAATAGGTCGAAGGTGTCTTTGGAAATAACGGGGAATTTCAGAACAATTACTATTTGATTCTCCGTGAAATAATAACCTGAATTAATGATATCGTAATATTCTCTAGTCTCTAAATTTAATACATGTTCCTTATCATAAATTTGTCTTAATCTTACTAACATGGACTTAATTATCTTAACACTTAAGGTAGAATGGTGGGTGCTCGATGCACGACTAAATGCTAATATATTTTCTATCCTATTAAGCTCATTGAGCATATCATCGATATTTTCGGTTAAAATTGTTAGTAGTTGGGCAAACAGCATATTTGATGAGGCTACTATCTCTATAAGCGGCTCTATCTAATAACTGGATAAGTGTTGAGTTAATTTTCTTTTGATTTTCAGTTATCTGGGATATTACACTATTGCGTTGAAACATCCACTCCTTACTAATGCTAATGTGACTATTAAATTCCGATTCGATCCTATCTTGGTTATTCTTTAAAACTTTTATGGCATTATTATATTTCGCGGCATCTAAATAATCTAAATTACCGGTTACGTTTTTGATTACCGAGCCTAAACCGTCTACTAGACCTCTCTTAGTGCGACTGGACGCTAAGCTATTTAGTTGTATTAAAACTTTATCTAATTTACTATAAAGATAGTCCATTTGCAATTCGTACAGTAAGTTGGTGTCATTATCAAGTCGGTTCTGGTAGTTTTGTAGCTGTTCCTGTAATAGGGTTACTTTGTCTCTGATGTCGTCAAGTTTAACATACTGAAGAAATGTGTGATAGTGAGTTATAAGAGTCGTTGGTCCAAGTCTAAATGGTAGTAGGCCTGGTCCGTCTTCAAGACATTCAAGTTTTATCTCCTGGGCTTCGATCGTCAGCATGGTCAGTACGGTCAGTAATTTTAGAGTCCTGTAACAATTCGACATTTTTAGGTACACGTTTAAGTCTAGACGAATGTCTAGTCTATCGGGCCGCGTTTCCTAGACGCATAAATGTGTATTGGTAAGTCAGCTAGAACATGGTCGTGGGTGTAACGTGGGGCCAATTTTTGTCGGCTAGCTAGGGGGTTTGAAATGAAAACTTGTTGGTTTGGTTGGTATTCAACTTCTGGTTCCCGTGATTTATTCCGATTATTTATTAGTGCTGTACGTTCGGATAAAGAACGCTCGTTAATTATCTCGTACACTATTTTCATTTGATCTCGGTGTGTAAGTATATATTGTTGTAGTAGATGTTTCGTCAAGTCGATGTCCATTGGGTCTCTAGGGTTAAAATGTCAATAGATAATATCATAGGCCCTGCATTTAGTGAAACTGTGTACAGAACTGTTATATCCCAAGATAGCATAAGGCATTAGGTTTACTACATGCTCGTCTTTCTTTTGTAGTTTAAGGATTCGCAGATGTTCCAGTATAGTCGAATGGAAACGCTCTACGTTACCGTTATCATTAGGACAGTGAGCTAATGTTTTATGACGGTTAATTTTGTGGAGTTGTACGAACTCAGTAAATAGCTGATTCGTAAATTCTGTCCCATTATCGGTGACAATAGTAAGGGGAAGACCATGATGCGTACAGAAGGTAAGTAAGCTTTGCAAAATACTCAATGCTGTTCCGTCTCTTAAATGATATGCTTGAGCATATTTGGAGAATACATCTATAAATGTGAGATATTTTTCATTATGTACTGTGAACATGTCTATATGGGTGATCTCGAAAGGTTTGGTAGCGGGGGGGAACGATATTGAATTGTGGTTTTATAGGTTTCCTATCGTATTTAGCCTGACAGCATATGGTGCACTCATTAATGTATTTCGTGATGTGTTCTCTCATTTTAGGCCAATAATATCGTTTGGAAAGGGCCAGAAAACTCTCATTAATACCGCGATGGTTGGTTTTTCCCTCGTGGTAGTTCTTTATTATTTCTTGTTGTTGTAGATATTCTTTTACATTTTCTACTTCAACTTTGGTTAAGACAAGATTCATAGACGAGCTTATGTTGTAGAATATATAGAATAGAATTTATCTTGTAGGATTTGAATGACGTCATACATGCAAAGAGGGGGGTTAATTAATAATCCGGTTTTGACTTTTGGGTTAACGTATTCTTTTATGGCGTTGACTAGGTCTACTTCCATTTCCGGTTGTCTTATCTGTACAACTGTTCGAGTATGTGTATCAAAAGGTTTAGTCACTATTGGTCGTCTTTTAATGTCGGCTACAATTGTTAATATTAGCTGTCTGTGGAATTTATTAATAGGTTCGTCGGTGATAGGGATTTCGAGGATCGGATTATCATGGCTTGTGTGGGCTGTTTGAGTAGTTGAGCCGCCACTAGGGGCTGTTTTTTTTGATGGGTTAGCTAACATAGAACAAGATACTTCGTTATATATTTTTACCCGGGAAAGAGCATCGGCATTGGTGTTATTTTTTCCTTTTTTGTATATGACAGAAAAATCGTATTCGCTTAATTTTAATCTCCACCTAGTAAGTCGCGAGTTTGGTTCCTTAAGATTCATTACCCACTGAAGGGGTTTATGATCAGTTAAGATTTTAAAAGTACGGCCAAATAGATAGGGTCTAAAGTACTTGGTTGCCCACACAATGGCAAGTAGCTCTTTCTCTATAGTGCTATAGTTTACTTCGCTCTCATTTAGAGTTCTAGAAGCGTAACATACAGGTTTGTCTGATCCTATGGGTCCATGAGATAGAATATCTCAGGGACCCATAGGATCCTATCGCTACGTTGGATGCGTCAGTAGTTAAGATAAATTCTTTATTGAAGTCAGGATATTGGAGGATTGGGTCGTTGGTTAAGAGAGTCTTGCATTTTTCGAAGCAGTTAATGTAGTCTGCGTCAAGAGTTATTTTTCGTCCTTTTTTTAGACATTGCGTCAGAGGTTTAGTAATTCGAGCACAGTCTGGGATGAACTTCCGATAATAACCTATAAGGCCCAAAAATTGTTTAATTTCTTTGCGGTTTTGGGTAGTGGATACTTTTCTATTGCGGATATTTTGCTAGGATTTGGCTTAATGCCATCTTTACTAATTATATGCCCTAAATAAGCGGTTTCTAAATTAAGAAACTCGGACTTATCCATTTGTATTTTAAAATTGTATTCCCGTAGTTTCTGAAATACTTTCTCAAGGTTTACCATGTGTTCTTGCAAGGAAGTGGTGAACACGATAATGTCATCAAGTACACGAGACAAACTGTATTTTAGAGGTTACGGAGCACGTTATCCATGACACGCTGAAACGTAGATGGCGAATTTTTTAATCCCATGGGCATCCGCAAGAACTCGAAATGCCCATGCTCAACATCGAACGCGGTTTT